TCCACAATCGGGGCAGGGATGTGCACCCCAAGGTAGGCAAGGGGACAGCAATGAGGAAAGCCCTGGTCATTTCCAGCAGCAGCTGAGTCCCTGGGATGTTCTTTGGTTTCTTCCTTTACTTTTTTTTCCCCCTTTATTGATTGGCTTCTTTATATGGTGCTAGAGGTTGAAAAAAGATAAAGCAGATAGTTACCAGGGATGAGGGTTGAGAAGAGATAATGAACACGTGAGTGGCCCACAGCACCCTGATTTGCTTCCTTTCCCTTTTAGCCTAATACACCCGGGGAGATCAACTGTTGCTGGGAGCTTTCAAAGCAGGAAGAGCACAGTCAGACTCCATGCCAAGAACTGCGCCCTGCTTTCATATAATCCTCCAAACGACCCCAGGAGGTAGATGTTAGTATTCTCTTTTACAGATAAGGAAACTGAGGCTCAACATACTCACTAACACCCCTAATGTCACCAGACAAAGCATCAGGATTTCCACCCAGGTCTGACTGTCCAGGCCTGGGTTTTTTCCACCACTCCACACTGCCTCCTGCCCGCACCGTTCCCAGTCTCCCCCTCCGTCCTCCACAGCAAAGTCACAGCTGTGTCATTGACTGGAGAAGGTTAGGAAATACAGCTCCGGGCAGTCTCCAGGGGCTCTGCTCCGTCATCGCCTCCTTCCTTTCCAACTCCTATTATGGTACAAATAGTGCTGGCAACCCCACCAACCCTCTGTCATCTGTTCTGTGGCCTAAACGCTCCTATCTCTACCCCATCGCAGTAGCACCCCAGGACCCCAGCTTTCTAAATCTCAGCCACAATCTTTTACAAGGACACTCACCAACCTTGAAAGGCAAGGTACCCCGAGGCAAGGAAATGATGGAAGTTGAACAGCGTGAGAATGCAGCGCCATCTAGTGGCGCTGGAGCAGCGGTCCAGACAGTGACATTTTCAAACAATCAATATCTCATTATTAACCATAATCACAACCTGATGTTTACTTTTGGAGAAATGTTCAGCAGCCAGGGATGCACATGCACTTTTCTGTATGTTCCAGAGGGCTGTGATCCTAAATGCCACAATGACTATTAAACAGTGTCCTGCCCATGAGCAAACAGGAGGGAGCAGAGATTGATTGTATATCTTTTTCATCTAAGCTGCTCACCAAAAACAAAGCAGCCATTGAAGCCACTGACCTTTCACTAACTGCTGGAAGGAAAATGCTTGATAAATAATAAATACACCACTACTGGGTGCTTCAAACTGCCTGCTCTGAACCATCTTTTAATTAAAAGAACTGAGCAACTGGAAGGTCAGGTGACTGACATTTAAGTTCCAGTCCAGGAGAAGCATCCGTTGAGGGTAAAGGTAGCTCCAAAATGCAATTTCATTGTCGACTAGTACTGAACAGAACTCCCCTCTCTGGAATCTGTCCCAGTGGAGGGGGGGGGCGGGGCGAGGCGGGACGGTGGCGACTGTTGCAGAGGACATAACACTTAGCTCCCTGGCTCCTTCCCCTTCCCTAGCAACCCAATTGTGCCCTGCAGCAACCAACACTCCTCTGGCTCCGCATCTCCACAGAAACTGCTTCAGGGCTGGGCCCAACCAATCAGAGGCCTGCTTGCCACATTGAGTGCTACCCTAGGAGTGACAGGAAAGCCATTTCTTGTCCTTTCCACAGGAGAGCAAGGGCCCTTCCTCCACCAGCCAAGGTGACCTCAACCAAGTTGTTCCCCGAACCTGCTCAGGCATCCACTGCACTGAGCGCTGTCAGAGGCTCAAAGCGCATGACTGACCCAGCTAGTTGGTCTGCAGCTTTGGGCTGTTCCGGAATGGAACAGAGAGGCCAAGAGCCCCCGCTCCACTCCCGTCCTTCGCCCCCTGGTCCTCACACGACACGCCTTGCATGGTTCCTAGCTCGCCAGCCCTCTTGCTGGGGCAGGGCCAGCTTGCTTTCGCTGTCAGAGCAATGTCATGCTATCAGCCCTGGCTCCTGTGGAGTCAGAAAAACGCCCAGTTCTGGGTGAGGCTCTATCACCACTGAGCGCCCAGAAGGAAGGGCTTGTTCTGGCCACCCCAGCACGCCTGGTTGGGTTTCCCCAGCACCGAAGCAGGCACCAGAGCTGGCCTCCAAGAGAATCCTATCATCCCACTTGAATGACTGTTTAAAAAAGAATCAGTTGAGGGCCCTCCCTGGTGGCACAGTGGGTTAAAGCACAGCACTAAGAAGCTAAAGCCACTTCAACATGAGTTCGATCCCCACCAGCCCTGGAGGTGACCACAGGGCGCGGCAGACCTCTCCTGACCTGCCCGCTGCTCCCCTCAGCAGTGTACTTCGTCGATCTGCCTGTTCTGCTCCCCACTCTGTCTCTGGTGAAGCCTCTCACTGTCCCTAAGCCTCTGGCCTGTACCCCAGTTCTGTATGCACAAATAAATAAATCTTTTTAAAAAAATCAGTTGAAGGTTTTTAAGTGGCATTTAGAGACACAGGTATCGTTTTAACAAAATCCTCTGGTGACACAAACTTTTTTGTTAATAGCACCTTCATTCTCAGAGAACACAAAGCTAAATATTATACAAAATTGCAAAGAATTGGGTTGGCCCCTTAAAGAAGATAGAGGATCTACTCAATAAAAGGGAAGGAAGAGCTCTGTAAAAGCTGCTGATGTGGGACATAAGCAAGCCTCTCTGCAGGTAATGGAAGGTGTGGGACCCATTTCCTCCCACCCGCCCCCCCCCATTCTGTCTCTGTACCCCAAAGCTCATTCATTCTCCTGGTTCTATCCCTTGCCCTTGTGCTAGAGATTTCCTCCGTCCCCCGGAGCTCTGTCTGCCACGTGGATATTGCTCTATTACCTCCGTCTGTAGAGAACAGGAGCTCTTTCCTCACCCTGCTGTCTCGTAGAGATCTTGACATTCTCTGGTCACTCATATGTGGTCAAGGAACCTCTGCCTCCACCTGGAACTGCTATGTCTCTTCCTCCCCAACCCCCACGTGCCCGCTCCCAGCCCCATTCTTTACATCTGGGCAAATCCTCCTTTGACCTGACACTGCTTCCCGTGGGCTGCATCCCTGCTGTCACCTCCTACACCCAGTTGAATTCATGTTGTCATTGATGCCACCGTGGTCTGATCCCGTCCTCTGGTCAAACCTGTTTCCCATCATTCTCCGCCCGCTGCTCCCCTCAGCACTGTATTTCAGTACATCCCCTGTTCTGCTCCCCACTGTCTTTCTGGTGAATCCTCTCATCCCTTGTACCTCTGGCCTACAACCCAGGTCTTGTATGCATAAATAAATATTTTTTTAAAAGAATAACCAAGCCCATCACATGTATTACAAGGAAGCTTTGCCTTCATTTCTCAATTAATTCTCATAAGACAAACGATGTTGCCAAGGAGGCAAACATCACCCCCATGTCATATGTCATAGTCAGAGAGATGTGTCAGGCACAAGGTCACACCAGTAAAAACCAGAGTAGCCAGAATAGAACCGATACTTCAGATGAATCTTGTGTAAACTTCACTGTAACCTGCACACGCTGTGACCTGCCTTTCTCAGCTGCTGTTTGATGCTTCAAAAGATGCAAATAAGGATTTCTGCTCTTCGTGACACTCTCAAGAGGGAGACAGCTAGAATGGAGACCAGGGTAAAGGAGGTAGGAGACGACTAGATGTGCCAACTGTACAGTGTGTGTGTGTTAATCTGAAAGGCGCACAAGCAGGGACTTGAGACCTGATCTGAACATTAGGGAAAGCTTCCAAGCAGAGATGACATTTGAAGAGGGCAGGGAAGTCCGGTTTGCAATGGCCACGGTGGTGGGGAAAGTGATCCCGGTATTAAAACCAGGACACACATTGCAAATCCCACCCTGCCCTTCAAGGCCTCCAGAACTACCTCGCCCCCAACTCACCCTTCAGTTGTTGTGTGTTTATATCACAGAAGGACACCTGTTCATCTTATTCAATCAAGTCGCTCATCTTCCCAACTAGATTTTGAGTTTATTGCAGGCAAGGAGATCATACTTCCATTCTCTGCAAACCCTATAGGAGATTGATGGTTCTGAATGCCCCAAGTATGCTTTTGATCAAGACAAAGGTTTACTATAAGCTAGTCTGTGTCTTCTGCTAGGCCTAGACCCTCCCCATGAGAGTCCCAGTCTGGTCCACAAGGTCAGAATGGTGAGGATATGGGGAACAGGGCATTCCACACATTGCTGGTGGGAGCATCATTCAGCAGCTTCCGTGGGGAGCTAGTACCAGGGCTGCGCTGAGCTTTCCTTGCCGCCGGGGAGGCACCGAAAATGCATCCCTCGCTCTAGTAGGCCATTTGCAGCACAGCAAAACGGAAACCAACGCTTTTGTCCGTGTGCTTCCATGCAAAGGCCCTGAGACATATTCAGTAGAAAAACAAGGTATGAACAGTGTTCCCATGTATATGCCCAAAATATTCTTGGAAAGTCACGAGGAAATGGTGGTCCCACTGCTCACCTTTAAATTCTGAACCCTGCACATATTGCATATATATATTTTTTAAAGTTATACAAATAGCTTTTTAAAAATAATCTTAAAAAAAAAAAAAAACCTTTGCACTATGGCAAAGTAACTGCCTTTTAAACCCCAGAAACATAAGGTTTAGGGATAATGAGTGATCCCCATTGTTCCTCTGAGAATAAAACTGCCTTCCCTACCTGTTTATATTCTCCTCCCAAGGCCTGGCCCAGGGCTGGGCACTGAATGGCTCCCTAATGTTGAACAGATGCCATTTACCTCCCCATTTGAAAGCAGAGCACTCCCCGAACAAGAACTGTAAACCATCTGCGGGGCGGGGTGACGGAGCAGCAGGACTAAGAATTGCTTCCGCTGCATGTGCTCATTTACCTGCCCTCACTGAGCGGCTGTGCGCGCAAGGAGGCTGCAGGCCGCGAGGTTTGGGCCTGCCCCCCGTCCACCTGGAGACTGAAGAAATACCACAGAAAGAAGAGCACAGCAGAAAAGATACACAAGTTTTAAAATAAGGAATTTCTGAAGCACTTTATTCCTAGTAGCCAAAAGCATTAGCTTGATTACAAATACAAGGGCTACCACCTCAGGGGACGATGTCATTTATTTAGTCCAAGACAACGAAATGAGGACAGCAGGACAGTCGGCGAGGCTTTGTCAGCACACCTCAAGTCCAGAAAGGCAGGAGGGTGCGGGTGGAGAACATCAACCCCATTAGACGGGTCCCTTTTGACAACCCACTCCCTACAGAGACACCACCTGAATTCAGTCTTGAACTGGATGCGATCATTCATTTATTCACTCCACCAGTCTTTACTAAGGCAACTTGTTGTCTCTAGCACACTCAATCCATTGAGACTAAACTGGCAGTCTTGTCCTTTGTCCATCATCGTGATGGGTCCTCATTCTTACTGCAAAACAGTCAGCTTGGGCTCTCAAATTGAACATCAACAGTTCTATACCAACTCGTAAAAAGATTATCTGCAGACAAAAATGGTTGTGGAAGTAAAAGGAAGAAGGATCCAGAGAAGAGAAATACACCCACCAAGTGGAGCAGCGACATCCACGCAAAACCTGCTCAGTGAGTCCCAGTCAGGCAATGTTTACAAAGGTTTCCTTGTGCTATTCACAACTGTAAAGTAAATTTACTTTACAAGCAGCTAGGGAATTCTTTATTTAATACCATTCTAACATAAAAGTTCAATGACTACTTCCAACCATGATACTGAGCTTTATGACAACTTAGAAACAGGAACAAAAAGAAAGCAAATTTCATGCCTTAGAGATCAAGAAACATTTACACAGTTCAACCAGTAAAAACAGTTCCACATTCATCTGGCAAGCACAATCTAGAAGTCAGTGTACACGGAGCTCGAGTCCTTCAGGGAGGGGAGCCACCTTGTCACTGTCCTGCAGGTGTCTCCAAATGCTCGTCCTGTGGCACTTCTTTCAGAGGCTGGCTTTTTTCCAACACAATTTGGGGTTTGACACCCGCCTTCTCAGACTTCCAGGAAATACGACTTGCTTCCTGTTGTTTAAAAGACCAGATATAAGTATCTGGCGTTATCACTTTCACTCAATCAATTGGCTGAAATCGTATGACTAGACACATTCAGTAAGTCAAAAATTTAATGTTAACATTTCAAGTCAAATTCTACTATAGCAAACAAAAAACATGACAAAAATCTGTACAGATCACAGTTTCAAAGCCTAAACCGCAACTCACTTGTTCCCAAGGGCAGTTATTGCCACAAAACCCCTGTGCACTCACCCTCAGAGTACCTGACTTGGGGCCGAGGAACAGGAGCCAAGATCGAGGGAAGAAAACCAAGCTTTCCTTTAACTTCTGACAAATAGGCAACTAATGATAATGATAATTATGATAATAAAATGCTCACCGTCTTTGTTCCTCCTGCTCTTCTTAAAATGACACCTTCTGCCAGCAAAGCCTTCCCTGTTTCCACAAATAACTTCTCTTCGTCTGTTTCACCGAGTTTCTGTAGCTCAGTGTATTTGTCCACAAACCTGGAATCCAAGCAGTCACAGCTCAGGTCTGGGTACTGGGAAGGCTGCTGTTACTCAGCACCAAGCCTTTCCATAACAGATCTTTCTACAGGAACATCTTTTTCCTCAAGTAGAATTCCAACAAAACTCCTCAAAATGGTTAAATAAATCCCTTTTTAAAAAATATTTTGAGGGCCTTCCCTCGTGGCGCAACAGGTTAAAGTGCAGCACTATGAAGCTCTCCGAAGCCACTGCAGCACGAGTTCGATCCCCAGCCAAGGAGCTGACCCACATGGTGCGGCAGAGCTCTCCTTGCCCATCAGCTGCTCCCCTCAGCAGTGTATTTCAGTCCACCTGCCTGTTCTGCTCTCATTCTCTCTGGTGAATTCTCTTACTACCTGCACCTCTGGTCTGTACCCTGGTTCTATACATAAATAAATAAATCTTAAAATATATATATATAAATGTACTTACGACTTATAAAATGGCTTACCGTTGACAAGTGGATTTGAAATTTGGATTGAACAGATCAAAGGCTTTTTGACCAGATCCATAGACTGAATAAAACTTCCTAGAAAATGAAAACACCACAATATAAATCACCAATTACAGTTCACGATCACAAACCGAATGAAGAATAATAGCTGGGCCCTCAGGAGTTAAGCAGTTAGCCTGTATAACCAGCCTGAGCCTAGGAGTTTTGTTTTGTGTTTCTAATACATACACATGATAAATGCATCAAGTGTTACAAGGGTAGCAAAACTCTGCACCTGGCACCCCACCCCCCAGTTCCCTTCCAAGAAGCAACACAAACCAGTGTCTTATGACACAACTGGATTGTATTTTGTTGTTACAAGTTCTTTAAAATATCAAAAAGATAGGGGATAGGGAATGCAGCCACAAAGGTAAAGATTTAAAAGACTAAATACAAAGTATTACTATTTTAGCATTAACAGTGATAAAGGCAGTAAAAAAAAATTACCATTCTTCAATGACCTTTCACCTACTTCCACTGCTATCCAAATAGTGGAATAAATGATTTTAATGTTTGACCTGGGAAAAGCACTAAAAAAAGGACTTCATACTCCAAAGATTTTATGTCTAACTTTAACAATTTCCAAATAGAATAAAAACACTTGTTCTGTTGAAAAGGAGTGTTTGGGGGGGGAAAGATTCCTCAAATGAAAGGTGCCTGGACCTCAAAAGAGAATATAATGACTTTATGAACTGTTTTCCTGAATCCAGGAATATCACTAAGAAGAATATATATTGACTTCAATTAGGCACAAAATCTGATCTTACCATTTAAGAGAAAAAGAACCATATAAATTCTAAGAACTAGCAAGCTAACTGACATCAGCATTTGCTGGAAAGGGTTTTGTCAGTGAATCCCCAGAAAGTCTTACCATTTACTTCACAGTCCAAATATAACTTATACAAAGGCAAATTGCAGCACAGAAGAGGTTTCTAATCTGGTCTATAAGTTGTCTTAGGACGCTCATAAAACTCTAATGGCTTTTCTCCAAAAAGCCCCAATCTTAGTCCTTTGTTCCTCCTCTTTATGGAGCTTTTGCTTAAGTCTCACTCTGATGGCCTCCTGGTTCATTCATTCATAATTGGTTCATTAATCTTGCCAAAGATTTAGCAGGTTGGTTAACTAACTAACTACAACTTGCATGGCATCTATTGTAGACTGGGCAGTGAGGTTACAAGATGAATGTGGCAGGGCCTGACCCACTGGTGTTTAAATGCTTATCACTGAATGAGCACTGCATATGTGATATGCAAAGGTCTTGAGACAGGCTGAGGACCTGGCAGCGGCAATGCACATGAGCACTTGGGAGAAAGGGGAGAAACCAACGAGGAGAGGTGCAGAGAAGTATCTGAGGAGCTTCAGATTCACAAAGAATGTGACTACCGAGCTGTTCTTTTGTTTTACAAAGTTAAGGTGGCCAATATCGGCCAAAAAAATTTTTTTTAAACTTTAAAGACCTTTTAAAGAATGTTTCTGAAATACCATTTAGACATAACTCCCGACAGCTATTTAGATTTGGGAAGGAAAGGACAGCAAAAAAGAATGAATGTTCCTACTACTGTTGACACCTGATTTGCCCTTGGAAAGTGACTCAGAAAAAGACAATTCAGTTAACCCAAAAAATAACAGCGTTATTGAGGAAGACACAGGTTAAAAAATACTGTTATTCTTCTTTAGGTCACCGGACGCTGGCTACATCTTCCCTTCTGCCTTTTGCCCACTGTAAAGACTTCACACTCACGCTCTAATCTGATCCTCCTGGTATAAGATGTCTCGAATGTGGGCTTTGGCTTTGCCATATCGCAATCGAGGTCTTTGGAAGACCGGCTCCCTCAAAGGGGGAAAGGCATTATATATGTCAAACCAGAGGGGCTTCTCCTTCAACACTCCAGCCCGAATCAGATCTCGAGTCCTTAAGGAAGGGAAAAGAAGAAGGTCAGTTACAACAGCCTAAGCCCCTAAATCAGAATAGCCACAGCGTGGGGCCACAGCGTGGGACCTCAGCGCGACCGCCATTCTGCAACACACAACCTGAAGGGCGGGGCAGGGATATTCCAAACCCCAAACCAACTACCACCACCAGGAGTTAAGTCTTTCCATCTTCTGGTGCGCGCCCCTCGCCCAGCCCAGGGCTGTGAAAGAACGTGCAAGGACGGTCCTGCCGGGTCCCGCTGCCTCCTCCCCCGCTTCCTCTGCCTGGAAACCTCCACGGGGGTGGGAGTGGAGGGAGTTACAAGCTGCAGTAAAAGGTACGAAATTCAAGGGGTGGCGCGTCGGGCACAAATACCCAGAGGCAGGAGTGAGAGCAAGCGAGAATGCCCGCGCTGGTCGGCCCCCAGCACCGCAGTCAAGGTCTCACCTAGCTCAGATCTACCCACAGAGGAGCTCGCCCAGCTGACAGCCCGCGCCCGCCCCGAGGAGACACCCTCACCCCAGCCGGCGCCGAGCACACACCGCGTGAAAATGCTCCCCACAGTTTCCAGTCGGCTGCCAGCCATCGCGGGCACCTCGGACAGTGCTTACTGCTACCGGAACCGGAAACGCCGGGGGCCGGCCCAGGGGGCACAAGTTGCTGGCCGAGCCGAAGATCTTGCTTACACAACGGACCCGGCGGTGCAAGCAGAGCCAGACAGAAGCAAACGATCAACTGGCGCGCTCCCCAGCTTGCGGCCACGTTCAGACGGAAGCACTCGATAGCCGAGCGGAAAGAGCGGGCGCGAGCCCAAGCCCGACAGAAGCAATAAACCGCCGATCTAGGGGCGGGATTCGTTGTGATGTTTGCTTTCCCCTCTGGCTTTACGAAGCCGACGGTTGTGGGAAAGGTGGGACTGCGCAGAGAGAAGATGATGCGGAACGAGGCGAAGCCTATATCCTGGCGGAGACAGCCAGGGGTGCGTCAGAGACACATGTGCCACCAGGTCTACACCCAGGCTGAGCCGACTCCCGGGCGGCCGCGACTGCGCAGAAGGAAACCGAGGCCCGGGGAGGGGCAGGCACTTGGTCCTGGCCACGCGGGCGCGGGCGCTGGCGCCCTGCGGGATGCTGCTCCCATCGAGCCCGCGGCCGTAGGGCGCCGCCGCGTCCGCTGGACAGGGAGGCTGGGGGTCTCCGCGGCGGACGGCGCTGCCCGCGGCGCCTGCGAAGTTGAAAAGTGAAAGTGTGGAGAGCAAACACCTACCCCGAGAAGGAGCTGGAAAAACCTGGGGAAACAACCTCTCGGTGTTACCCCTGGTCCAGTAATCTTACTTGGAAAATATCCCGTAGAAATTAAATCACGATTTCATGAGGATATTCGTGCACAAGGACCGTCATTGCAGCATGACGATTTGTAATCGTTAAAAAAAAAAAAAAAAACAGCAAATTCTATGGGATCCTATGCAGTTATTAAAATGAATCGGCTAACTCTATATGCATTTACCTAGTGAACTGGCCATAATTCATACTTCAATTTAGAAAGGCAGTTGCAAGGAAAGCCTTTCGTGCGAGCCTAACCTGCTCAAGGGAGAAAGAACACCTCTATCTGTGGCTGTGATTGTAGAAACTGTGGAAGACACACACAAGGCTGTAAACACTGGTTAGGGCAACAGAGGGTGGGAGATTTTTTTTTTCTCCCTTTCTATATTCCTTGGAGATTGACCTGTAAAGAGTTTGTTATTTGAACTTTCTAAACCAATGAAATGTTTTTAATCACATTCTCCCAGGAGCACACTGTCTGTTAGCAAGAAAAAAAAAGCCTTCAGCCACCCCAGAGTCCTCAGGCTCCACAGGAGGCTGGTGAGGAGGAGGAGGAGGAGGAGGAGGCGGCTGTTTGATGGCAGTTGCCACTGTGTTATCTCATGGAATCCACACACCTCCTCACAAGTGGCTATTGTTATCCTCAAGGGAATGAGAAAGTGAAACCACAGGGGGTTAAGTAACTTCTGTTACCTAACCCAGCAGACTGGGCACACACCTAGCCAGTCCCTTTCCAGGACCTCCTTAGCTGAGCCTGAGCTAGAGCTGGGTGAGGTAGACCGAGGAGGCCAGGCAAAGCTGGTCCCAGGAGGAGGGGGCAGCAGGGTTTGGAATCCAGGGTAAACAGGAGGTGGGCTTCACTCTTGCCTGGGAACCTCTGGGACGGGGAGGAAAGCGCAGCTCTGGCAGGTGGACCCAGGTGGAGGCCGAGTCTTGCAGCAGGAGGGATCCTGAGACTGCTCCAGGGAGAACAAACACACTCCCAGCTAAATATAGACTTCCCGGGCCTCATAACAAGTTTCTAATTCTGTCCAAGCCAGAGCGAGCTGCCAACCCAGGCCACAGACACACTTCCCTCTCCTGCCCAGACCCGCTCCCCACCGCACCCCCAGGCAACTGCAGTTACTGCTGCAAAGGAATCAGAAGGGTCTCCTCCAAATTCAGAGAGGGAAGACAAAGACCCAGACCCTCATGCGGAAGAGTTGGCAAGTGGGTTTTCCTCCCTAGGCCTTAAGGAAGCCCTTTTCTGAGCCTGTCAAGTTCCCTGTCAAGTTATCTCTTCCAACACCATATTTGATGTTTCCATGACTGAGAAAGCAGAATGTTGTTGGTTAGAGTCAGGAACTATGAAAAGGCAGGAACAAGACAAATGAGGGCCCCCAAGCCCACAACAGAATGTGCCCAACCAAGGACACATTTACTCATAAATGTGGGAGGGAGTTGGAGGGGGGGGAGCTGTTGAGGGGGATGGAGAAGGGTGTCAGGGGAAGATGGTTATTCAAGGCTTTCTGTCTTTTCACCAGGCCACCCACGCTACAACTGGGCTGGGAGCCTATGTCACCTCATTTGGTTGTTCCACTACCTGAAGCCATAGGTAATGTCCTGACAACCGTACAGATTAGGAAACAGAGCTCACGAACTCTCCACAGGGCCTTTTTCTCCACTACACCACTCGGACCTGTTTGCACCCACTGTGTCACACAGTAGAAATGCTCACTAATAATCACCTTGGGCAAATGAAGTCACGTTTCGATCCACTTGTTTGTCCATTGTCCAGATGGCAGTGTTAGCTATCTGCATGGCTGGTTGCTGGAGTAAAAGAGCTCACTACGTCTGGCACCCAGCAAGCTCTTTGAGAAACAAGCCAATGGTCATAGGTCAGGATCACCGCTGTGTCCTGCAGTCCATGACTGCCACATGAAACTGCGGTGTTTTGACGTTTCATACATTGCCTTGCTAAATGACCCGTTTATCCCACAAGCTCAGAACCACCCACCTGACCCTGTACTGAGGCCTAGAGAAGCTGACTATCCAGTGTGGGGACAGAGAAGCCAATGCAGAATTGATAAGCTACGTGCCAACAAGCTGGCCAGCTTCATTTGCCTGCCTGGGTTGACATGCCAAGTAAACCACAGAGTAGAGAGCTTAAACAAGGCATTTATTGTCTCACAGTTCTGGAGGCTGGAAGTCCAAGGTAAAGGTGTCCACAAGGTTGGTTTCTTCAGTAGCCACTCTCCTTGGCTTGCAGAGGCCACCTTCCCTGTGTCCTCACATGGCCTTCTCTCTGAGTATCACTGTCTACTTCTTGCCACACCCAGACCACAGTGGATTCAGGCCCAATCTACTGGCCTCACTGACTTCTTTCAGACTGTCTCCAAATCACATCCCGGAGTAATGGGGGTTAGGATTTACAATGAATTTGAAGGGGACACTGTTCAGCTGATAACATCAACTGACAAATGCTTGTGCCACGAGGCTTCCGTTGACATGTGGCTACTCTGCCCTTCTCTGAGCAGGAGGAGGGACTGCGCCCCCCCAGTGCCTTGGTCTCTGCTTCCCATGTTCCAGTTGATATGGCCAGTAAGAGGCATTGGTGACAGCCCAGACAGAAGGAGAGTGAAGTTAGTCTTTTTCCATGGATCCTCCCCTGCCCACTCACAGCTCCCCAGGACACCATGCCCTCCCTACCCCTCAGGCACAGACGCAGCAAACTAAGGCCCTTTGTCTTAGCCATGGGGCCTAAGCCCTCCCTTGTGGCTTCCTTATGCCCTTCCCACATCTTTGTAAACAGGGTCCCTTATCTGAGAAGAAGAGCATCCCCAATAGCAGAACAGCTTGGGGAAGTGAAAACCCCAGTCTGTTGATGAAATCAATAATGCCACTACTGGCAAAAAGCCAGGACTGGAGCACAATTAGCTGTCACTTTTTCAAAGGAGGAAAGCAGTAGAATGTATTCAATATGCAACCTAAGGAGAACGGAAGGCTAGGAGGAGGCAGGAGTGTCCCCTCTTCCTCCAGGTGGGTGCTAACCACCCTCCCTCGGGCCCACACTTTGACTCCTTCCATTTGGGAAGGCACGTCCGCTCCCAGCACACACTTGGCCAGATGGGACCAGTGTGCCCTGAGCCCTACCCCTCCCTCCCTAAGCTTATCTCTCCCATAATTTGGTGGCGTGTTGTGACTCTGTTTACTTGTCTGAGTTTGTCTACCTGGGCCTCTTTGAGGGTAGGCTTATCTCACAACCAGCCTGGTGCTTGGCCAGAGCTGGCTCTCAGAGTGTCCTGGTGAACAGCAGTGATGAATGAAGCCAGGTTAGGACAGATGCGGAGACAAGGACCATAGCGCTCCTTTGCTGCCCGCCCACAGCCAGCTCCCCCTTCCTGGGAGCCTTCCCCAGATACACCAGTTTGGAGAAAGTGTGATTAAGTGGAAACAATCCTTAGCCTCCCATGCACTGAGCATCCTGGTCATTTCCAGTTCCGTCCTGGTCATTTCTGTCCTCTGTGACTCACAAACTTCGGGGCTTCAGCTTTGTCATCTGTGAAATGGCCATGATCCCAGTACTCTACCCTGTGGCTTTGTGGTGAGGTTTCAGTGGGTTATTATTGCCCAGAGTGCTTAAACGGCGCCTGCTGTGTAGTAACTGCTCAGTTAATCGGGCAGCTGTCGGTAACGATTTCCACACCCAAGAACAATCATGCCCTACATTTAAATCATGCCTAACAACCTGCAAGGAGTTTTCACACAGTTGCTGATTCGTTCCTTCAGCAAGTGGAGGCCTTGCTGCCGAGGCGGAGGGCGCAGTACACTCTGCCCACTCTGGCCTGGGGAGTCTGTACCCCTGAAGTCTGACCTTTTAGTGTTGCAATGAAAGGCGACTGGAACTGGTCGGTGAGGCTTTCCCAGCAGAAGAGATCCTTGAAGGCGACATTGCAGGGTTGGTGTGGGCCCATTTTTCCTGTTGGAAGCAGAGCTGCTAGGCCTTGGGTGTGCACCTGAACCCCCTGGGGACCTAGGAAAATACAAATTCTGACTCATAGGTCTGGGGGGAGTCCTGAGACAGCATTTCTTTTTCTTTTTTTTTTTCCACATCATTCATTTTGTGCATTTTTTCATCTCAGTGTCATCCCCCTGGGCTTCCCACCACCAATTCGCCTGTGTGCCCTGAGACAGCACTTCTAACAAGCTTTGTGGCTGATGCCAGTGTTGCCAATCTGCAAGTGGGGTGGCCCACATGCCCAGGACATGCCATATGTTAGTATGAAAAGGTCCACAGCTAAAGAAACCACTTAGTCCTGGGAAACCAGGACAACGGGTCTCTGGGCCGGCAGACCTCCCTTTGGACAGCAAGGTCACAGCAAGTTAAGATTGCCCTGAGCTTGTACTGCCTGATAAGGAATTGCCACTCTTGTCTCTCTAGAAATCAACAAGCAGATCAGTGCTGGTTTTGTGGGGCCTGAAGTTTATATAATCTTAGTGATTTTTTTGAGAAAAAGAAGTACAAAAATATCCTTGTTTTGCAAATTTTACAAAACACATGACTGTGAACAGAGTAAATTTCCCTTCTGTCTGTTTGGCCTCAGGCCAAATGGGTCTCGTGTATTCCTTCTGGGGGGGAAATGGTGTTTGTGCTCAATGGCCAACAGCTGCCGCTTCTAATAGATGACCACCAGGTGGCAGTAGTTTTACACGACCTCTTTTAGTGGCACACCACCACTCCAGAAATTTCCAAACCTTTTTCTAGCTGGCCCAGTCAGCTAATCAACAAATTAGTCTATGGTGTGCTAATGGGCAAACAAGTTCATGTGGCTCCCTTAATATTCATATTTTCCATTGAATAAAAATTTTAAGAGATTGTTTGTAAAACCAGAAATGCTAAAAGGTGAGTTCCCACTACACTGTCCAATCTCATGCCACTAGGAAGTTATTTTTAAGCAGGTGAACCTTTCTGTGCTCCACAAATTGCATCTGTGCAAGGGACCTTGGTTCTATGACCTGCTCCCCACCCCAATATATAGCTTAGTATGTAGGCACAGCTCTGGAGTTCAGCTGCCCAGGCTTACATCCATGACTCCTGGGGTCATTAGAGTAAGGACCTTAACATCTTTTGCCTTGGTTTTCTAATCTGTGGAGTGGGAGTAATAATACTGAGTCATGTATTAGTTGGGGTTATGTAAAATAACATGCAAAGCCCCCAGAGCAGAGACTAAACAGTAAGGCCTCGATAAGCAGCTCTCTTCTTTAGCATGCCACACCTACACTGCCTTTTGCTTGCTTCAAAGCCATACGCCTCCTTTCCTTCTGCCTCAGTCCCATGCCAGGTGCTTCAGCTCCTGGAGGGAGGGTTGAGGCCTTGGTGTGGTCAGATCAGGCCAACTTGGGGCAGAGTTCTCTCAACTTAGAGTCAAGCCCTGGGGATACCAGAGCATAAGAAGGGGAAGGGGCACTGACTGGACCAAAGTCTAGATGGCCTGGCTCAGTGCTTTTGCAGGTAAATCTGGGCATATCATCTTGGGGCTACTAGGAGCATAGAACTTGAAGGTGAAAATGGTATGTAGAGCAGTCATCTTGCCCAGCATGACTCGGGGTGCATCACTGTTGCATGCCTACTAGGCCCAGAAAGTTTTCCCGCCTGTCTCCCCATGCCCTCCTGTCTGTCTGTCGGCAGTCACCTTCAGCCTCATCTAACTGAGGCAGAATGGTGAAGGTTCTCAAACTGCGCATACTAGAATCTCCGAAATGCTTTTACAATCTGATTCCTTGACTAAATTAAACCAGAATCTGTGGGAATAGCATGCAAGTTTCAGAAATGAGCCCAATGAACAGGTGTAGATGTGGCTGGGGTCATTTCTGAGATTTTGAGGACCAGTGTTCCAGAGTCGCGTTTCTCGAGTCTTCGTGTGCGCATGTCTCCAGAGCAGTCTGTGGGATGCACGGTCTGGGTCGGCCCACAGAGCACCCCAGCAGCAGGGCCACGGGGTGGGGCACAGGCAGCCCTGGGCCCTGTTTTTGACTTCACACCTTGTTCACCCTTTGATGATGGGTAAGTTACTTTGCCTCTCTGAACTGTTTTTTCATCGCCTACAAATAAATGTTCACTATTGGATGAGATCAACTGGGCTGACAAGAAACACCTAACAGATCGCCTCCCTCGTGTGTGCTGCTCCTCACACTTGATCATCAATTTGAATCACCTGAGAGGGAGGTGCTTTAAAAGGAGCCAACCTGCCCCAGCAACTTCATTTGCCAGCTCAATTTCCATGGGATGCGGTGGGGTTGGGCAGGGCTGGAGCTGGGGGTCGGGGGCCGAAGGGAGTGGATTGGAAGTTCTTGTTCTGAGCAGAATCATCTCTGAGCTCAAACATGGTTGAGGGGAGTCGTGACTTTGGGTTTGGCCTGGGAGACCCAAAACCCAGGAACAAGATGTGGGTGGAAAGCTCCAGGCAGCCTTTGGGTTCAAGACAAAAGTTTAACCTTGAGAACTGGCTAGCCTGGCCCTGCGTGGGCTCGGTGAGCTGGGGAGTGGGGGAAGTTGGAGGTAGCTGAACTGGAAGATCTCTGGGCCTCTTTGAAGTCGGGGCTGCACATCCATCCCGCAGCTCTGGTCGGTCAGGCCAGCCTTACTCCAGAAGCTGTTTATTTAGGGAGGTGGCAGGCTCGAGTTTTCGCAAAAGACTGGCCTTCCATTTTCCCTCGCGTATCAGAAAGCGGTTTAATTTCCAGGGCAAACAGGAAGGCTATGGGGTAGGGCAAAGCCAGGTTACCCTGCTGGCAGGTGTCAGGGCTGGGCCACGGCTGGCTCGCTCTTTTTGCGGATGACCCCCATGCAGGGCTGGGGCAGGGGGTAAGAGGGAGGGTCCAGCCCACGCCCCGGCTACAGCAGAGCACCAAGAGAACACCAAGTCTTTATTACAGGAATTCTATGAAACAGCTCCAAGAACACACCCACACATCGAGGGGGGAAACTAACAAAGCGACACACAGACCTGGGCTGGGGCTTCCCCGGGTCCTTGAGCCCCAGCGCCAGTAGGGGTCTGACCGAGAGCCCCCTCTGTAGCCTCGAGACAAACCAACCCATCGGGCGGGCTGGCGGCACAGGGATCCCGGGGAGCAGCAGGGGGCCGGCCCCACCCGCTTCCAAACTCGGTCACGCTCCGCGGTGCATCCGGCCCGCAGCGGCTGCGGCTGCCGAGGGAAGCCGCCGGCTCTAACCGCACAGGGGAGAGGAAGTAGGGTGCCCTCGCGGTCTCGCCTCCGCCTCGGCCCCCCCCCCTGCCACGCCCTCATTATCTCCGGGTGACTTGCGGCCAAAGGGGCCCTGCCAAGGCTCAGTTCCTACTCCCAACCCTCGCTCTTGACCGGGCAGGTTCTGCACTCGCGTCCCTGAAGCCTGGGGCCCGCCCAGGGCTCCCGATGCTCTGGAGAAAGCAGCTCTCCCCTGTCAGGACCGGACCGCAGGGCCATAGAGACGCAGCTTGCAGCTTCCCGTGGGCTGGCAGTGGTAGAAGTCGGCTGCGTTTCCCAGCGAGTCCACTTTTCCTGCTCTCGACAAGGGTGCTCACCGCCAGCTGCCCCCTCCCAGGCTGGCAGCTCTGCTCCTCGGTCCTTCCTCTTTCAAGGGTCACTTCATTGACCCTTCACTGCCCACCCCGAGGGGACAGCAGGACTTCTGGTCCAGCTGGGGTGTCAGAGCCCCTGAGAGCCCTGAGTTGGGTGACTGCAGGGTCCCTCTGGCTTTTTTGCCTTCTGCCAAAGTAGACTGCCCCTACCTAGTGAGAGCCCTCTCCGGTTCGAGTGGCCACCCTCCCCATGCCTGTGAGGGCCGGTCAGAGCAGCCGTCAGCTGCCCACCCCACCCCGTGGGGCTCCATCACTCTGAGGGGCAGGGTTGCAGCCCCACTCTCCACCCCAGAGCTCTGCTGGGGTTGTTCAGGGCCCCAGCTGGGATGCAGGGCAGCGTGGGGGTAATGAGCACACATGGGGTGCCCAGAAGAGAGCTGGGGAGGGGAGTAGGGGGTCAGGCAATGCCTGTGACCCAGCTGGGGAGATGAGGAATGGCGGAGGGAGGCTGGCCTCCAACTTCTGGTCAGGGAGATTCTAGCCTGACAGCTTTCATTCACTGCCCCTAGCACAGCCTGGCTGAACAAAGGGCTGTGACTGGCCGCCCCCCACCCCTCCAATCACAGCACGAAACTCCGAAGGTCTAAGTCCCATGGAAAGTGGCAGTGGCTGGGCTGGACTGTGGCCGGAGAATCGCTGGGCCTTGAGACTCAAGCACCATCTGTCCGGCGGCAGCTGGGCCCTTCAGCTGGGGCCAGTTTTGTTTTCCGGCTGCCTCCACTGGGTCAGAACATGGCTGCAGAGAATTGCTGGCATCTGGTAAGGAAAAGGGATGGCAGTCAGTGGAGCTCAGGTCCTCCTCGCTGGCTCCTGCAGGGACAGGTCGGAGCAGAAGTTAGAGACAGATGTACCCTTCTTCCAGGGACTCGTGTCAGCCTGAGAGCTCCTCCTATGTCCCCCTTCTTGACACAACCCAACCTAGGCTCCTAGGAATACCCCAGCTCAGAAACAGCAAGACTGGAAACTAGAGGAGTGTGAGGTTAGCGCTGGCAACCAGGTGAAAAAACCAGTTTTCGATGGAAGGGGCAGGAAGACTCAGAGTTGCCGGGGGAGCTAGAGAGGGTAAAGCTCTGACTCAGGAAATGATGAGCGAAGTCGGGGCACAGGGGTGGCTCTGTGGTGAACCTGTGGGAAGTGGCCTTCCCTGAGAGGAGATGCATGGGGTGCACTTGGTGAGGGAGGGAGAGCTGGGGAATCTGAGGGGCCCAGAAGTGCTGGTGAGGGCTACGGGGAGACCTCTATGGAAGCCACCAGGCTGAGGTGACAGGATGCTCGTGTGGGCCCTGGCTGTTTGGCTCATCTCACTCCACTGCAGTTGCCCTGAGGATCTCTCCAGAGTTCAAAATGGGCCACACCTGCTACATACCAGCTCAATAAAGCTTGTAGATGCTGACCACGAGGCCAGGGCGGAGGCTGGCCAAGAGCAGGGAGGGAGCACCCGAGGGGCTGAGACAGACAGGTGCAGCTGCCCCCTAAAGGAGGTGTGGACCTTGCCTGCTTCTCCCCCCTCCCCTCATCCCACCCCAGGATTGCACAGAAAGGAGGAAAGAAGCAGGTGAGGTGGCCAGATACCCCTGCCTGGGGGGGGGGGCCACTTCATCAGGCCTCGGAGGTGCCTACACCAGCGGCCCAAGCAGGCAGTGGACAGCGTTCACGTACGCGCTGCGTGGTGAGGCCGCCTCAGTTTTTCTCAATCCTGAATGCTCTGAGTATCTGTCTTAACTGGGCTGTAAACTATCCCAGATCAAAGGTGATTTTTTTCTTGTTCGGTCTCATTGTGGGCAGGTGTGATTACTTTTTGTCAAATGAGCAAATATCCAGGAAGAATGCAAAGCCCCCCACAGGAGCCCATGGACACTGCCACACTCTGAGGCAGGAAGCCCAGGGCTGGGCCCCAGCGAGCGGGGTGAAGCTCCTGTGGCTCAGGCCTTACCTCTTACTGTCTCTCTCTTAAGGCCTCCTCCACCTTGGGCACCTCCTGTCGCCTGCCCCGGAAGTCGTCTTCTGGAAAGCAGAGGAAAGCTGCTTCACCCTCCACCCATGGGCCTCGCTCAGGCATGTCCCCCAGGAGGGCAAGAGCACTGAGTCAACTGTCTAGCCCTTTGCTTGCTGGGGACTCGCTGATCCCCAGGGGCAACATGGGGGTCTGGCAGCAGGGTTAGGCCCAGAGGCTGCTGGCCTGGCTCCATCACTGAGCGGAGACCTTGGGCAAGTTCTTCCCTAGTCTGTCAAGTGGGATGGGGAAACTGTGATCCAGATGACCTCCAAGGCCCTTACAAATCCTTGTTTCTGGAGCCTTCTGACCACCAAAAGGGCCCCCTGCTCTAGTGAATGAGAACTGGGGTTCAGCTGTGGGAGGTAGGGTTTGAGGCAGTGTCTTCTGGTCCACCGGCCTGTGGGAGGGGCTGACCAAATGGTGAAGGACCTCGAGGCCCAGAGACAACCTGCATTTTGCCCTCCAGGGGAACCCTTCCATGTGGGTAGGCCCATCTACCCCATCACCCTGGAGAATATCCTTAGAAACCGCTCCTGGCACGGTTTGATCTAGGCAGAGGCAACACCAGAGCCACCCTCAAGGGTGAAGGCAGGAAGGACCCTCTCATGGGTCACCCCCTACGTCCTTGCCCTGCCCCCTCCCTGGCAGGTTAGGTCCACCCAGGAAACACCCATGCCCTCTTCAGGGGCCACCAAGCACAGACACCTTAAGGCTCATGCTCCCCACCCTCCCTGCCTCACCACAGGGGTGGCCCTCCACGTCGTCCAGGAGGTTGGCTGTTGATGCTGCAGCTCCCAGTCTGTGGGCCGCTCAGGAAAACTCCCCCTGGCATGGGTTGGGCCCTCCGAGCTGCATCCACCCGCTGCCCTGACTGCCCCATACCAGCTGAGGCTCCACCATGGCAGCCTTCTCCACCACTAGGGCGCCCCCACCTCACCCTGCTTCTTGGGGTTCAGCTGAGCAGCTAGGCCCTGACTCTGGACAGAAGTGATTTTCTCCCTGTTCCTCTTTAGCTGCTCAACTTCTAATGTGCTGGGCTCTCAGAAGCACGGGTGGGAGTCTTGAGTGTCAAACTGTAAAACCTTGTTTTTACTTGAGGAACTGAAAGGGAGAAAGTGGAGCCAATGTGCCTGAATGAAGAGAAAGAGCTGTTAATCAGTTTAACTAGGCACATGGGGGAAGGGTTTGCCAGTGTTGACGGAAAAGCCGAGTTTCCTCCAGGGACGCACTCCCCAGTCAAAACGACACTAGCTGCGGGATGAACTTCCAGCTCACAGGAGTCTGAGGGCCGCTGGCCTGCTCCCCGCACCACGGTGACGGTCAAGACTGGCAGAGGGCAGGGGGCTCGCGGAACAGAAGGCCTCGGAGCTGGCCTCCCTCCTGAGGGAGGGCACTGCCTCAGGACTGTCGCTCAGGGTCTCAGGGCCTGAGAGCCCACTGTCTCCACCCAGTGCCAGGCCGGAAAGGATACGACTGATGCTTCAGCAAGTGTTTCCTCTTTGACTTCCTCATCTTGGTTTTCTCTGAGAAGGCCCTGGCCAGTTCAAACAGCTTTCTCCGGGTGGCTGGGGGTAGAGAGACCTGTGAGAACCAGGCAGCTGCCTCCCTGGACGGAGGGGAAGACTGGGAACAGGCCCCGGGCCCAGGTAAAGGCAGGTGGGCAGGCTGGCCTGGGCCCCAGGTTGCAGGGGAGACAACAGACTGGGGGACCTTGCAGGTGGGGCTGTGCGGAGCCGTGTAAGGTGCCATCCCAGGTCAGCCTGCAGGGGCAGCATAGACCACCTCCCGCAGCCGGGACTGCAGGTGGCCGCCCAAGATCCGGGTATTCGTCCAGGCGGCCACAGACAGCCACACATCTTGGCTTTCTTTCCCGCCACCTCCTCCCCCTCTCCCTGCCACCTCCGGAGTTGGTTCTGGGATTTCCATGACTAATCCGAGATTTTTCCCTGAAATGGAGCCTGAAAGGATGGCAGCCTCATTCACACATGGTGTGTCTGTGCAGCAGGGAAGGGGGGGGGCGGGGTGGGAGGAGAGGCCATCCTGGCTGGCAGAACTCTGTGGGAAGAGGTCACTGACCAAAGGCCTCCTGCCTGCAGAGAAGGCTGAGCAAGGGCCTCCCGCCTTGGTCAGACCCAGCCAAGCCCCTGCAAGCACAGAAAGTAAACATTAAAACTAGGGTGAGGGAGCTATTATTTTTCTGCAGACAGCTGGCTCAAGAGGATTTAAAACTTAATTTGTATCCAGATTCAGCTACAGAAGGAAGTAAGCAGGAAGGCCCGGGCAGCCAGCCTGTGATTAAAATGTCACTTTGGTTCACCAGGAGTCAGCTGCCTTAATCCCGGGTGGCTCCCTTTTCCCCACGAGGCCAAAGGGTCTTCTTAGGCGCAGCAGCGGGGAGGGCATGAACTGCACTCACATTTTCCCATGTGTTTCAACTTGTCCCTGAATAAGGCATCTTCAGACACAGCTGGGTTTGTGTCGCTGGTTCCTGGAAGGACGACACACCTCTGTGAGGGTCGGCTCCGGAGGGGAGAGGATGCCCAGGCCCGGGGACAGGTGTGGGGGTGGTCAGGGCTGTCCTGGCAGGACAAGGTCTCCCCCTCCCACCCTTCCACTTAAGCAAGGAAACAAAGAGCAGGCTTCTTCCCTAATCGGGAGGGAGCTTAAAGGGAGGACGCTCAGGCTTCAGGGGACACTTCTTTGCAAGCCTCCCTTTGCTCCACACACAGTGCTTGGTCTGTGCGTGCAGGCCGGCGCCCACCGGCTCCTGACTGGGCTTCTCTGACCACCTCCTCATCCCATGACATCACATCGGTCGCTTCGAGTTAGCCACAGTGGAGCATTTACACCACACCAGACACTATGCAAGGGCTTCCTGCACCCTACATAGCTGTAAACTTTCATCAGCACTGCATCCTCACACAACACAGGGTGAGCACCTGAGGGCAGGTACGGGGCAGGCGTTCATGACTTCCTCTGCCTTCCAGGTCAGCCCATCCACAGCTCCCCCCACACTCCTTAGACAATGAGGAGTGTCAAGGGCGCCAGGAGGCCACCCAGAGTGTGCCTGCTCACTCAGCACCCACCCGGGTCTCCCAGTGCCCTTCAAAGCCCCTGCTCTCCACCCGGCAACACAGCTAATCCCAAGTCACCCTGCCTGCTAAGTCCTCCGCGAGTTATTTTGATCCATCTAAGCAGCCCTTGCGTCTCCAGTTAATTCAGGATCAGGGCCAGGAGTTTGTGGTTAAATCCCAGATGCACATCTGGCGGGGCCTCAGTGCCCATCCTGTTGCCTATGAGTCAGGTCCAAGGTATTTTCTCTCTCTGCAAGCTGGGATCAGCCAAGCTCCCCGCCCTGCCCGCCACCCCTACTCCACAGCACCTGAGGTCTGTTTCCAGGAAACACTACTGACTATCTGCAGCAGGTGGTCTGTGTGTGTGTGGAGGGTGCTGACCGGCCAGGGGCCAGTGTCCACACCAGGTGGGACAAGGCCTCTGTCCCTCCTGCCCTGTGTTCCCAGCTTCAGCCTCATTCATGCACGCCAACCACTGTCCGCCCCTGGCCCTCCTCCAGTCTGCTGGGGTTCCAGGAGGGCCTGACTTGCTTTGAGGTAATGTTGCTTCTTGCCTCCATCTTGTATATAAAACTCAGTGTCTTCCTCCCATGCCAGAGCAGGGCCTGGCCAGTGGCAGCTACTTCCCGGCCACTGAATGAACGCATGGGTGCGTGAACCGTTCCCGGACTGAGGCTGCCCTTCTCACCACGTTTAGTCAACAAGTGTCCACCGCTTTGCTGGCTTGGCCTACAAATTTCTGGCTGCAAATCCTGCATTCCCCACAAGACTATGCACTCCAGGGCAGAGGCCAAGCAAGCCCTGTTAGAGTAAGCGCCCCCCCACTCCCATTCATGGGACACTACACGCTGTGGCCGGGTCCCTTGTGAATGCTCCAGGCCCCTTGAGTTCCATCAGCCTGTTGGCAAGTCCAGTTTTGGGCTCCAGCAGCTGCTGGATTGGTAACGAACCCCAGGTTGCTGTGGGGTTTGGGAACACCTCACTCCATGGCGAATGTGGTCGTGGGGGCAGGACCCTCCCTCCCCTCCAGCCTCTATCCTCTGCTGTCCCCCCCCCCCACACTCCACACAGCACAGCTGGGGTGAGCGCTCTTCCTGGCCCCCAACCCTCTCTCCCAGGAAGGCACCGTTACCTGGGACAGTGGCGGAAAAGACAAAGTCGCTCCCTACAGGTGCGCTGCTAGACTTGGGTTTCTGCGACTCATACTTCAGTCGATCTGGAAAAGGACCACATTCCAGTCAAGGAAATTAACTCCTGGGTGCCAGGCGGTTGCTGGAGGCCAAACTCCAGCATCACACAATTGTGTGCACACAATGACTACCCAGTGGCTTGCAGTAGCCAGCGATGTGACGGAAACAACTGCCCAGAACACTGAAATGTCAGCAGCAGGAGCCTGACAAGCCCATACCCAGCCCCTTCACTTAGACATTCGCTGCAGAGCTGAGACCACCCTCGGTTCGCACTGTCAGCCCAGCCTTCCCCTAGGCTCCTCCCTGGGGATATACTGCCACTGACACGCTCTCACCCTGTCCCTCACATGACAGACCTCCCCCAGCCCTCACTGCACCCCACTCCAAACACCCCTATCCTGAAGGAGAGAAAAGCCAAGCTGGCAGATAGGGTCTCTGGCCAAAAGACAATTGAACTGCCCCACCTTCTCGCACACCCCCCCCAAAAAAAAACTCCAGCTCCTGTTCAGTGCCCAGTCTGGCACCCAGGGACCCCGCTCACTCTTCCTGCAGTTCCAAATGCATCATGGCAAAGCCAGTGCCTAACACAGCAGACAGGAGTGGGGAGCAAAGAGGACTAAGAGGAGATAGCTGTTCCCAACGGAGGGGAGATGCCGGGGTTCCGCTGACAGAAGTCTGGGGCTCCCACAGATAACGCAGTGGGAACCAGGTCTCAACAGGGACAGACCCCCTCAGGCCCAGTGCCCGCCCTGAGCCCAGGCTAAAGCCAGCATCCACTCCTTCTTCAGTCAGGTAGTGGCCCAGGGTCCCCCAAGCACCACCTCTCTCCAGGGCCAGAAGGAAGTCGCGGTTGCGCTGCAGCTCCTTCATGAACTCCTCATTCTGCAGGAAGAGGGCGATCCTCTCGTCCTCCAGGTACTGCTTCCAGCGGCTCTCCTGGTCTCGGGCCCCCAGCCCGGCCGTGGGGGGCAGGCCCCCCTCTCCACTCCTGGGCTTGGAGGCCGCGGGGTCACCCTGAGGAGGGGAGTGAGCATGTTGCACGTCTACCCCCAAGGCATAGGTCTCACAGGCACCCGTCAACTTGGGTGCCGCGTGTCCTTACCCGGGATCCTCCAGCTGCATCCTGGGGCCTGCACATGCTGCCGGGACCTGGGCATCAGCCCAAACTCCAGACGAGAGCCCTCTGCTAGGGGAGCAGCAAGGGCTTAACTAGTTCCTCCCACTTTGGACGACCCCAACCCTTCATCTACAACCCGAGGAACCTGTGCTCCATCACCTGCACAGGGACTCACAGACGCAAAACTCACCCCAAACCATGTGTCCAGGGTAAATCCCCCACCTGCAAGGGTCCCTTGGGGCATGCCAACATCCAGGGAAGAAGCTGCCCATGGGTCTTCCCAGGGGAGGAAAGGAAAATGCTCTGGCCCCTGCCATTGGCGGCCCCATGTCCACCTCCCTCCAGCTAGGGGCGATGGCTGCATCCAGAGTCTCAGGGCTTCACCTTCCCTAGGCGGGGCAGGAAACCTCCAGGCCCAGGTAGGAAATGAGGCTTTCGGTGCAGCATTCTTTCCCTACAAACCCCAGACAACAGAAATAGCTCGGCCTGTGCTCAAACATCAGGAAGTGAAACGGGCACAACTGTGTGGGCAAGCAGGAACACGGCACAGGCAGGCGGAGGCAGCCGTTACCTGTCTGCTGTCCAGCTGCTGGGGCAGGACGCGCAGGAAGTCATCGGGGAGGTTGCCCAGCAGGGGTGGGTTCCAGTTCCGGTAGCGCCTCTGGCTGGAAGGGGGTCCAGAGCCCAGCACGTCAATGCTGGAGGGCAAGAGGTGGCAATGAGGGGGCAGTCAGGCACTAATGCAGGTATCCTAGTCCACTGACCAGGGTCCTGCTAAGAGCGCCCTGCTCAAAACCTTCCCGGGCTCTCTGCCGCTGCCTCCAGGACAGGCCTGGTGCTCAGCTCAGCTGGACCAGGCCTCCTAACCCCCCAGCCTCCTGCCCCAGGCCGGACCCCCCTCTAGACCCTCACAGCTCTCTAGCTGCTCAGCGCCCCAAGTCTCTAGGCCTAGCACCGCTCTCTGCATGGTGCTGACCTTGCAAGCTGAGGACTAAGTACATGTTCGCGTGACCTTTCAAGCAAGCAGCGCTCACTCTTTCGTGAAGATACTCCACAGGTGAGCCCAGGTGTGCTCCAGATAAACAGACGCTCAAAACACCAACAGCCTAGCCTGCCCGGAAGTTGGTTTGCTGGGGCCGGAGTGGTGTAGACAGAAAGGAACAGATCTAGACCCCAGTTCTGGCTTAGCCACAACCCTGTAGGGTGCCCTAGGTGAGACTGCTTCCGTCAAGGACTCTGATTCCATATCAAGAAACTGCTGCCTCCCTGCCAAGGCAGTGGGAGCCCCCCAACCCCCACCCCCAATCAGGCTGTGACTTGAACAAGTTCTGAGTGGAGGTTCTTGTTTCAAGGCGTGCTCAAGAAAGGCTCTCACAGGCCAGGTGCCTGGAGGTCTGCTCCAGCAGGGACTGACGAACGGGGTTGGGAGGGGTGGCCTAAGGGCAGCAGCCTGGGCCTGGCAGGAGCTCCCCACTGCTCCTGGGCAGCCTGCAGCGTGGCAACCACAGGACACGTGTTCTGCTGAATCAGGAAAATGACACACACGGAAGCCGAGGGCCAGGGGTGGTGGGGGCGGCTCTCCAGCCTGGCTTTGATTTGGGCTCCAGCTCCAGGAATCCCGCCGCCCCCTCACTGGTGGAGAGCTTTTTCCCGGCTGCCGCTGACTATAGAAATAACTTCCTTTCCTTTTCTATTTTGGGCCGGTGGCCGGGAGGGGGCGAAGGGGAGGGGTGGGGGCGGCGGCAGACAGGATAACAAGCTGCTAAGTGAGCAGTGGGAGCTCAGCACAGGCAGACTGAGCCAGGGAACCCCGGCACACGCCTAGTCCGCCCTCTCCAGGAAGGGCTTGCTTGGGACGGACTCGGATGTCTAGGCAGATTTCCCTAGACTTCTCCTGGAGGGTTCACTTTTCTCCAAGGGTCTGAGAGGCAGGGAGAGGATACCCCATCTTTTAGAGACTTGAAGACCAGACCACCTTTGGCCCCAGCACAGAGAAAGCCTCTTGGGGATCACTGCTCTCCCTCGGGCTTTGTGTAGCTCACGGGTGCCCAACCGCAACTAGCCACATCCGGAGTCACCCAGGAAAACTGCAGACAGAAAGCCCTGGAGTTACATCTCGACCCCTCCAGCCTTTTCTCACTAAAGTCTGAGGGGTGGGGGATGAGGCGGGTGGGGCCCTGTCTTCAACTAAGTTTCCCTTGCTGCTGGGCTGATGGTTCTGGAGGAAGAACGGGCCTGGCACAGGTTGGCAGAGATGAGCTCAACCCAAAGCTGAGAGCCAGTGGGGGCTGAGCCCAGGCAGCTCCACTGTGCTTGGAAAGGAATGTCAGAAATGCACGGAGAGAAAAATAAAAATCTTCCACGACTGTAATTTCAGTGGAAAAACAGCAGGGGGCCCTCAGGGAGCCCCTAGTTCCAGACACTCACTCAGGAGACAGGAAGGAGGGAGGGGGAGGAGGCTGGGTAAGATCTGGCCCAGAGCCGCTGCGGCTGGATCGCAAAGGTAGAACTCATTTCCCAAGTTTACCCGAAGCATAGGACCCCAACAGGATTTTAGAGACAGACAGGATCTGGGTAGACTGGACATGTAGGTCCAGGTGGGTTAGGTCCTGCGCTGGGGACCCAGACCACCCAGGCAGTCCCTGGGCCCGGGGATCTGACATTCCCCACACTCCTGGGATGAGCCTGCCTCTGCCATCTGCATTCTAACAGGCACCCAGGGACTGGATGTGCTGATTCCCCCCACCTCCCCCAGCTCCCACTCAAACCTGACCTCTCTGGCAGCCAGAGGGGAGGTTCTGGCTGCTGAAACACTAGCCCAATCAGGTCACTCTCAAACTTTACACCACTGGCTGCAGGATAAAGTCAAGGCTCCTTGGAGGCCCCACAGCCTCCACGATCTGCTCGCCTCTGCAGCCTCACCGCCCACTCGACACCTCCCAGATGTTTCCCTCTCTCCTGCCTCCAGGCCTCTGCATGTGCTGGCCCCTTGCCTGGCATGCCATCCTGACCTTTACCTTGCCCGGTCACAGCTTGGACATTGGTTCCTCTAGGCAGACTTCTAGATCCCCAACCCCACTAGACTCTGATCTCCTTGGGGGATCAGGTCAGCTGTATTCGTCTCTGTATCACACACATGGTTCTGTGCCGGCGCATTGCAGGTGACGCAATACAAACTGGAAATGAGTGTTATGAGTGGAGAGGTTGAAAGACCCCCATATGGCCTAGGGGTAGATCTGGCTTTAGTGGGTCCTTCCTGGTACAAAGGGGCAGGTACCCAGAGGCTGGCATGCCTCTGCAGAACACTGCCTCTGAGGGAAGCCCAGCCTCCGACCTGAGAGGCCAGCTGTGCAGCAGGGGTGGGAAGGAGCAGTAAACCAGTGACAATAGGTCTGGTCCATACCTGGCACTGTCCTAAGTGCTCCATACACAACATCTCATTCAATCCTCACAACAGTGCTGAGGCGGGGATTAGTATTCCCATTTCACAGATGAGGCAAGCGAAGCTCAGAGAGGTTAAGTAGTGAGCCAAAGGCCACACAGCAGAGGCACCTAAAGAATCAGAAGTTAGGCAGCTGAACGAAGGGGGGGGGGTGGGTAGAGCACTCTCCTTCTGTCTGACTCCACAACTCGAGTTCTCTGCCCTGTCCCACCCCCGGCCCAGCAAAGCCTCCATTTCTGGGTCAGGAAGAAATTAAAGCTAGAGTTCAAACAAGGCCGCCTGAGCTTTGGTCCAGTGCTGAAGTCACCTTGCCCCCCCGAGGGTCCTGCCCCCTGCCCCCCCCCCCAGCCCTACCCGACCACAGCAGCCAAATACCCAGCCAGAGCAGGGAGGGCGATCTAGCCACGATACCCAACCAGATTTACACTGGGATCCTCTTACAGCCTTAGTTTCCCCTTATGAAAACTAGGCGGAACCACTCTGCCTAGCAGAAACTGGGCTTCTTATGAAACCATCTTGGGATTTTTTTTTAAGTCAAAGGAAAATAACTTATCGTGGGGCTCTGTGACCTGCTCCAGGCTGCACAGCATCCCACCAGGCCCACCCACTTCCTCCCCCAACTCCCACCCCAGGACACGGGCTCCTTGTTACCACTTGTGATGAGGGAGGCCCCAGCCCTGCTCTTGCTCCTGCCTGGGGCTCAGAACCACCCCCCACCGCCACTGTGGAAGGCTCTATCAGCTCCCTGAGCTGCGATCACAGTGGTATTTTCTCCATCTAAAGGTAACGGGACACAACAGTGAAGAGCATCTGACCTGGGTTCAAATCCCAGCTCTGTAGTCATGGAGAAGTCACAGAACCTCTGAGGCGGTTTCCTCATCTGTAAAATGGGGATGACAACAGTGCCTGCTTCCTAAGCTGTTAGGTGACTTGAATGTGATGTGCGGTGAGAACCTTGTGAGTTTCTGGCATTTGAAGGGCGTTCAGTAAATAGTGGCTGTTTGTTATTGCTTACAGCTGTGTGATAGCAGAGTCCCACTGCCACTGTCTGGCGCCCAAGGCCCCCAGGGGGAAGATCCACTGCAACAAGCCCATGCGCTGTCATGTCCTCCAGGCCCCCACCCCCAGGCCCCAGGCCCAGTCATCCCAGGGAACAGCAGGCAATGGCACTTGGGCCCACCCTGACCACAAGAACCAGCTGGCGACCAGCTTTATTTTAAAGGTCCGAGTGACAGTGTCCCTGACCTGGAGTAAGTGTCCAGGGACTAACAGGCTGTTCCCTGCCTCGTTATCAAACTATCTCACAGGAAGAGACTCCTACTCCCACTGTTTAAAAAATCCCCCCAGAATCCCTAGACCAGGGCTGACATACACTTATTCTATCACTGATGGCTATCTGGGGATACTGTTTTGAGGAAGACTGAGATTCCGTCTCAGCTGGGAGGAAAGTGCGCAGGGATGGATTAGTAATGTTTGCCATAAGCTCCATGGATGTGTCATTCCCACCCTGCAGTCTCTTTGACTTAAGCTCCCAGAAAGCAGAGGCTGAGGCTGACTTCACTCTGGCCCCTGTGGCATTCACACTGCACCCAGACAACAGTAGGGATTTAGCGAACGCGCTCCCAGCCTTACATCTTGAGTGTGCTCCTTGGTGTCTGGCAAAAATGTCTCTTGCTGCTATGGAAGCCTGCTCTTGGTGTGATATCGCACTGAGGGGTCCAGCCATGTCTCCCAACACCTCCTTCCCCACTGCCCACGCTCGGGAGGAGATGGGTTCTCACCGGGGAGGTGGCGTTGGGGGAGCCAGAGGGTAAGGCCTGTCGAACATGTGCAGGTGGTAGGCTGGCGGGGAGTACACGGGTGGGGGCTCTTCATCAGAGCTATCAGGCTCCAAAGTCCTCTCCAAGATCTGTATCCGACAAGAAAAGAAACATTAAAACCCTCCCCTGAATGTAAATCGCACTCAGACAAAAGCAGGTGTGGGCGAAGGTATGGGTATGTCGTTAGGGAACTCTGCCTTTGCCTTGAGAGTGTAAATTGATCCAACCTCGGCTTTGCAAAACTGTTTGACTTCTACCAAAGTTAACACTTCAACTACATTTGACCCCACAATTCCAGCATACTCAACAAACATGAAAGTACATGTCCCCAAAAGAATGCTCAGGGCAGCGTTCTCCATCCAAGTTTCAAAAACAGGCAAAACAAATCTCAGCTGGAAACAGGAGTATGTGGTCTCTGCAGGGCCGGGCAGCCTGGGAGGGGGCGCAAGGGATCCGGGGCTTTGTGGGTGCTGCCGAGACTTTACTGAGCTGCTAGCCTGGACCGCGGCCTCTTCGGCACGTGTTACCTTTGATGACCTTGACACACATCATTCGGTGATCTCGCCTTACCCTCAGCTTGGTAAGGTCGGCTATGGGTCTTTATCCCCATGTTAAGATGAGGCCCAGGTTGACTAAGTGACATGGGAAATTCCACATACTGCGTTTAGAATGGAGTCTTCAAGTTGGCCATGGTCTCTGCAGCAAGGGTCTCCCCTCAGTACTGCTTGCAGGTCAGGCTGGATTGTCAATGTGGACACTGACCAGAGGAGGGTCCAGGATGCCGGCTCTCCTTTCTGGACCCATCTCTCAAAAACCCAGAAGCCAGAAAATGCAACGAGAGGCCAAGGGGCAGGCAAAGACCAGAGTGCCTGCTTACGTGGACTGTAGGTCCCCAGTGGAGCCTGGACTAGGAGGCAGCCCTCAACAGGAAACTCCAGGCCATGCACCTGCTCTATACCTCAGCCTCCTGCCTCCCTCTTTCCCCCTCCCCAGTCAGTCTCATCTCTCCAAGACCAAAGAACAAGGGAAAGGTCAGATGCTCTAACGCCACCCTAGAGCCCCAGGCCCCACACTCAGGCCCCGCCTGAGTGGGCAGGAATCTCTACTAAGCTGCCACTTGGCTGGCCTAGGCTGGGCCACCCTGCACCCCTCTGCCCTCAGCACAGGCACCCAGTCTCACAGGGACACCCCAACGGGTGAGCACAAACACAAGTGCACGCGTGCACACACACACACTGCCACGCTCTGTGCACATGCAGCCAGCCCGACCCAAACAGGCCTCCTGGCCTGAAATGCATGAACATTCTTCTCTTTGAGGCAGAAAGTATTTAAACAGATGGCTTTTGCAAAAGGCAGAACGTAGCTGCTTTGTGGTCCACTGCTCTGCTCACCCCAGATTTCCACAAGAGAACACTTCAAGTCCCATCCCTGTCCCCTGGCTACCCTCCGAGGCCTGGCTGGGAGCAGGGCCGGGCAGCTACCTGGTGCGCCCCGGGAACAGGTTCACACTCCCTGGTCCCGACATGCCACTGCTCTACGGAACAAGGTTTCGGGCAGGGGCCTTGAGGCCAGTACCTGGGGGTCCAGCCGCCACTGTGCCCCCGGGGCTGCTCTGAGTGAGATGGGCGAGACGGGAGAGCTCGGAAGGCACTACTTCAGGAAGGAAGCTGCTGGGGTTTCCTATAGCTGTGGCTGTCAACACCACCCCACCCAGACTCGGGGAGATCAGGCCTCTTCCGCTGCTCCTGTGCGGCTCCTGGAGAATAAGGAAACGCCAAGGAGGCAGGCAGAGGGCCCGGTGCACAGAAAGGCTGATCTGAGCCTCCAAGGAGAGTAACCCACCACGTTTCTGGCCTCCCCTCCTGCTCCCCATGAGGTCGTTCTCCTGGCTCTAGAGGGGCTGTTGTTCTCGGCTCTATGGCCTCCTGGTTTAACTCGGTGTGGGTGACGGATGCTTGCCAGGTGTTCCAGGGGCCGGAGTCTGGCCATTTATCTGACAGATTTCTCCATGGCAAGGATACCCCTAGGGCCTCCCCACCCCCTCCATCCATCAGCCCCCAGGGAGGGGCCTTTTTCCAGTCAGCAGTTATTGCCATTCCAGCTGCTGCTCATCAGTTTTCCTCAGCACTTTGCTGGCTCAGGAGCTGCCTGCCAATGGGCCCAGGCAGAGCTCCGGAGGTGGGGGGCTGGGGAAACAGCCAAGGTGGGGTGCTGAGAGGAGCTCAATCTGGAAAGCAAGATTCTTAGAAAAACAGAAGCACACACAGTGTGGGCCCACGTAGGGGAAGCTGCTTGGAGCATCACAGGGCTTCGGGCAGTGGCCAACGAGGAGATACCCTACCTGCCAGACTGCCACAACACAGGAGACTACAGAGGGGGCGGGGTGTGCAGGCGGCTTTCCTTCCAGCTCACACTTGAGGTATCTACATCTGTGATCTCTCTCTCTCCGGCCCTGCTGCCCCTTCTTCCCACAGAGAGGATCTGGGTTTGCTAATACTCCTTCCCCTGGCTAATGCTGGCAGATCAAAGGAATAGTCTCCCAGGGAAGAAAACACTAAAGAAAGCTCTGCTAAGACAGCAGCAACATATAGTCATTCAACAAACATTCTCTGAGTGCCAGGACTGTCCTGGGCGCTGCGGGGGGGCACACGGGGACGAGCCAGACATCATGGGCCACAGCTTCTCCATCAGCCGGAGAGAACGCTCAGGCTGTCGACACGCACTGAGGCAGGAAGAGCCCGAGGGCTGGCCCTGTAGTCTGACTGACTGGTGGACAGCTGTTCCTGCAGGACGGTGCTGAGAAGGACTCTAAGGCCATGTGTGGGTCTAGCTTTTGTCACTGTATACGGGATGATGATGATGCCACTTCATGGTTTGTGAGGATCAGAAGAGATAACAAACCATGGCGATTGTGCCTGGCACTGGTTGGGAACTGGTAAGATTGGGGTTCAATCCCCCCAGTGCAGGCCCCTCATCTTTTCCGTGGCTGCATGTCCCGAATGACCCTGTGGGCAGCGACCCTGTCCCTGAACAGTTCTCTGTACCCCTCTGTGCCCAGCACTGTGAGTCCTGCAGAGACTGGGGGTGGGAGGTCTGGAGGGATGAGTTCGAACCAAAGGCTGGGGCCAGGAAAAACTGGTCCACCCCACAGGTAGGGCTTGAAACACCGAGTCCCCTGCACCCCAGCCGCCTCCCTAGAGAGGAGAGAACTGCCAGGGTTTCGTCACTATTCCTCCACCACACCCCATCAGAGGAATTTAACTGGCAAGACCGGTGGCACTCCTCTGCTGTGTTCCAGTGCCCTTGGGGGGCAGGGGGACAGCACACTCTTGTTCTCAGCTCAAGGCCTTATCAATCCCCCAGGTCTCTGCTTACTCCAGGATCCCGACAGACGGTCCCGCCGCCAGTTCCCTCATAACGCATGCTCTATTTCACCTGAGTATTTGCACAAGCCGTTTCCTCTCCCTGCACCCCTTTTCCTTCACTCTTCCTTGGGTCTTAGCTTAACCCCCACTTCCTCTATGAAACCACACCCTTCTCTGCAGGGCCCATGTCGCCCATCACAGCACTTGCCACTCAAGGCAGTCACTGCCTGGCTCCTGCTACCAGTCGCCACTGGACACTGAGCTAGCTCTGTAGGGGCAGAAACTTCATCTGACTTGGCCAAGGTGGACGCCCAGAAGTCCCGGGGTGGGGGTGGGGAGCCTTTCTTGACAACTACAGACAGCCTGGAATTGGGTGTCTGCGTTTTTAACACGCTCCTTGATTGTGCTGACTCCTGATGTGGGGTCCAGGACTGTGCCTGGCACATCACTACGAGCTCAGTGTTTGTTGAATGACTGCACGATGGTTGCCCATAAAATAAGGACACTGAGCAACTTGGGTGTGGTTTCCCTCGGAAATATGGCTGCATTTGCAGATAGGGGTACAGACCAAGTCCTCTGAGAGGCTCCAACAGCTGTTAGGACTCCGGACAGCGAGCTGGGCTGTGCCCTCCCTACCTCGGGCGGGATGCTGTCGTCGGAATCGGAGCTGTCGTCGTAACCGCTGCCGCCACCGCCCTCCAGGTTCATCTGCAGCAGCTGGTCGATGGTGGCGTCCACGGCGCCGCTATTGGCGCGCAGCACGCACTCGATGATGTCGTAATCCATGTTGGGGAACATGGTCTTGAAGTCGTCCATGGCCTGGTTGAACTCGAGGCGGCGCACCTGGCGCGCTGGCCGGCTGTTGTTGAGC